TATGACCTCCAAAAATAAGACATGGGACAGAAGGTGCAGAGAGATAGAATCTTATATTGGAGAACGACAATGCACTGAGGCGTGGAACTCTGTTAAGAAGCCGACTATCGAGAAAGTGATTCTAAATCCCATAAATCCCGAGGATTGGACACATTATTACAAACATCTATTAAATGAGAACAGAGACGAATTTAAAGAAGATATGAATTCATCAAGAATCGAAATTCTGGGAGAGCATAATTACCGTAGATATCAACAAAGTTCAAAAAGCTTTAGCAGGGATGAAGAATGGGAAAGCAATTGGACCAGAGGGAGTAACTACGGAATTAATAAAGAATGGCTCAGAGAAATTACACAGAATGATCACAATGATATTTAACGAATGTATTAATGGATATCCAACACCAGATGAATGGAAAACAGCATATATGACCCCAATATATAAAAAAGGTGAAATTGTAAAAACGATAGAGGGATATCGGTCACAAGTTCAATGAGTCGACTATACGATAGAATACTACGGGACCTGTTAGAGGAAGATTATCAATCGTCTGAAGACGAAGAACAAGGAGGATTTAAAGCAGGTCGTTCATGTACGAATAACATCTTCTGTTTTAAATAAATTACAGAAATGAAAATTGTGACAAATAGAGAGTTACATATGACTTTTGTAGATCTTGAGAAGGCATATGACACAGTCCTGCTAAATAAACTATGGGAAGTCCTGGGCATATCAAACATACATCAAACATTGGTTAGTGCTCTCAAAGATCTATATTATGGTTCAAACTCCCAAATTAAATTCGGAAACCTCTTAGCTGAAAAATTTGCAGTTACTAAGGGTCTCAGATAAGGATGTTGTATCTCTCCGACTCTATTTAATATTTATATCTCTGTAGCTCTGAAACAATGAAAAAGGAAAGTCAAAGGAATGGGTATACAATTAAACGATCAGGATTACATATATACTTTACAGTTTGCAGATGATCAGGTGGTGATCTCAAATGACAAAGACGAGATGGAATACATGCTTAGAAAACTTATTAAAGAATACCAGAAATGGGAATTAAATATCAATTTAGAAAAGGCAAAATACCTCTCAATTGGAGCTGAAGCAGAACAACTCGATATCGATGACAATCAAAAAATAAATCCATGTGACGAATATAAATACCTGGGCGTCATTTTCGACCGTAGTGGAAAAGACGAACGAGAAATAGAACATGAATTGTACAAGCACGAAGAGCTATTGCATGTTTGAACGGAGTTCTATGGAGTAAAGAAATATCAAAGAAAAGAAATAAAACATCTATGAGACAATGGTTAAAACTAGCCTACTTCATGAAGCTGAGACATGGAAAATAACCAAGAAATATAAGAAAAAGGTCGAAGCCACGGAAATGGATGCCATCAGAAGATCGATGAGAATATTAAGAGCCGACAGAATACGGAATGAAGTGATAAAACAACAAATGGGTATAGAGGGCACTATAGTTGAAGATATTGAGAGAAAACAGCTCATATGGTATGGGCATGTGAGCCGAATGGGGGACGAAAAAATGATGATGTGGCAACCCCAGAGAAGAGGAAGACCACCACAGAGCTGGAACTTGGAAGCTAGGAAAGCGATTAGCGCTCGAAATCTGGACGAAGACCTAACTCAAGACAGAATACAGTGGCGTTTGGGAGTTAGACAACGTCGTAAGACGTTATAAAACCGATTATATATGTATATATATATATATATATATATATATATATATATATATATATATATAATCCTAGAAAGCCTGAAAAATTAAGATTAGTTTGGGATGCAGCAACAAGGATACAAGGAATATCCTTAAATTCTATGTTATTAAAAGCAGATGACCAACTTGCTTTCTATTAGGCGTCCTCTTACGAGTTCATGAAAGAAAGATTGGCTTTGAAGCCATCAAGGAAATGTTTCTTCGTATAGGTATAACAGAAGACGATCAACTTGCACAACGATTCTTGTAGCGCAATGGTAGCTCGGATAATCCTTTGGAAATTTATGTCATGACTGTGATGACCTTTGAGGCTACCTGCTCACCTAGTTGTGCAAAGTTTGTTAAAAACACTACTGCGAAGAAATTTAGCGCAGAATATCCTAGCGCTGTTGATTCCATAGTAAAGAATCATTTTGTCGATGATTTCTTAGAATCAACAGACACTAAGGATGGAGCCATCCAATTAGCAAAAGAAATTGCCTTTTGAAATTTTGAAATAAGAAACTAGAGATCAAACTTTAAAAAAATTAATGAAAATCATGAACACTACCCACAGAAATAACAAGGAAGTCAACCTAGTTCTAGAAAACAATAAGAGCATGGAGAAGGTTTTAGGAATGTGATGAAATTTAACGGGAAATAATTTATTTTCAATTTGAAATTTAATAAAGGAAACCAAGATGTTTTAAGTAGATTAAGAAAGCCAAAAAAGCGAGAAATTTTACAAATCTTAATGTCTCTATATGACCCTTTAGGTTTGTTAACAAACTATTTGATTTATGTAAAGATTCTTTTACAGAAAATATGGAGAAGAAAAATTTCTTGGATTCAACCAATAACCAATGAATAATTCCAAAAATGGCTTTTTTGGTTAAACCAGCTTCCAAAAATAGACAAGGTTTTAATTCCAAGATACTTTCTTAATAAACTTGAAAACTGGAAGGATACCAATACGGAAATGCACATATTTGTAGATGTCAGAAAACTCGCAAGTTCTTGTGTGGCATATCTAAGAATATTGAAAAAAATGCAATACAGTGTATGGAGTAAAAATACATGTAGCACCATTAAAACCACAAACTATTCCTCGACTGGAACTAATAGTGCGGTAATGGGTTCAAGATTTGCTAAAAACCTTTGTTAACATCTTTCCAGAACTATGCACAACGTTGTTTATTGGACAGATTCCTCAAAAGTTTTAAGCTGGTTAAGAAATGAAGATCCAAGAAAATTACCATATACCTACTAAGAATAACATGGCCGACGAAGCAACTAAATGGACAAAACGTCCCAATTTGAAAAACACGAGATGTTGGTTTAAAGGTCCTGATTTTCTGTATCAATTAGAAAACAGTTGGCCTCCAGACACCACCCTTAAAAAAGGAAAAAGCTGATGAAATCTTAACCACTCAGGAAGTAAAATTTAATAGTCACTTTTAATGGGTTTTGAAAGATTCAGTCAATTTAACAGTATTTTAAGAGCAACTGCATATATGTTTTGATTTTTAAGAATTGTTTATGCAAAATTGATGAAATCCGAAGAGCCTAAAGGAATATTAACTTCGAAAGAACTGTTAGATGCTAGGAATATTTTGATAAAGCAAACTCAATGTGAAGATTACAAAAATGAAATAACACAATTAAAAATTAATAATTCTCGTAGTTTACAGAAAACAGTTAATAAATGAAGTAGTTTATTTAAATTATCGCCATATCTGGATGAAGATGGTTTACTGAGTAAAAAGAGCAAGATTAGATGAAGCTAGAGATGTTATTTCAGAAACAAAAAAGCCAATCATTTAACCGACAGAAAGTCGTTTAACTTTACTAGTTGTTGACGACTATGACAAAAGTTATTACCATAGAAATCACGAAATTGTAGTAAATGAGATAACACAAACATTTTATATACCAAAACTGAGGCAACTAGGTTAATAAGCTCCGTTTATACACACTGGTATGGATTATTTTGGTCCAATAAATGTTATTGTTGAAAGACTGCAAAGAAAAGATGGGGAGCTTTATTTCGCTTCAACACACCCTTTTCCCCTCATACGGGTGGGACCTGGGAGCAGAGCACCTAGTGAAAGCGGTTAAAATTTTGTTATATAATTCATTACCAACCAGGACCAATTACTTTACATTTGTCTCAGATCTGCAGAAAACATAGTAAACTTAAGACCACTTACTTCATCTTCCAATAGAATCTGAAGAATCTGAATATCTAACCCCAAATCATTTTTTAACTGGATCTTCAAACGGAGATAAACCAATTGGATTTTTAAACGAAGATGTTAAAGTATTTAAATTTAATTATTTATACAGTTGGCCACGCTTTATTTCTGAATACACACCTGAACCACTACTTAGGACAAAATGGCATAAACAAGTTGTACCAATTAAACAAGGTGATATTGTAATAACATGTGATAAAGATTTACCAAGATGTAACTGACCAAAGAGTAAGGTAATTGAAGATAAAAAATCACCTGATGAAATAGTTTAAACAAAAAATGGAATTTATGAGCTTCCTGTTATAAAATTAGCAGTAATACCAATAAATCTAGACCAAAAAGATAATGAAAAATAAGTGTTACTGTACACTGTACCGGGTGGGAGTGTTACGAATATTTAATGTTTGTATGGAATATTTATTTAAACGCCCTGTATTTTACTTAATTTTTTTTTTAGTTTTAAAATGTTACCAAAAATTTTCCATTGCTACTGTTGTACAGACTATGTCAGATATAATATTAAAACTTCAGAAAACAAACTGTCACCGATTAGTGGAAAAATTTAAATAATTTAGCAGACAGCAGGAGAACAGTAATTGATGGGAATTAGTTAGTTTTTTAAATTGTTAATTTTATATATTGTAGGAATTTAAGTTGTTTTTTTTTTCGCAAATAAAAACAGTTTACTACAATTCCGTCAATTGCTGGCTGATAAATTCCCAACACTAATGATTTAAAAGTCTTTCGAAGAGATGACTGCACATCTCCAAAAGGCAGTAAACAAATTAGATACTTATAATAACAAATAAGACATAAAACTAACGAAAACAAATCTACCTAGATTGATATCACCTATAAAAAATTAAATAATTACTCAGTTATATACTTAACAAAAAAATTGTTCTTTACAAGAAAACAGTTAAATACTTAAAATTAAAGGAACATGTTAAAAATAAAACTAATAATACTAAAAAATCAAATTACGACGTAAGCCTTTCACAATAATTATACTTACTGATGAATGAGTCATATGGGTGTAATAATCTTGAAGACCTTGAAAGTAACCATAGTGTGTGTCAAAACCTCTGTAAGTTGGGGTGTATTCTTTTTCAAAAAATCCTAAATGCCACTTTCCCACTGCATGAGTTGAATAGCCGTTTTGCTTCAGTATTTGAGGAATAAGGGTTTCGTTAAGTGGGAGACCCCAAGGTTCTGGTTCTAGTATTACTAAATGTTGCATTCCTAAAAAGAATGAGCGGTCCATAATTATTTTCCTCAAATCTATCCGAGCAAAAAATAGGTATTAAATCCTTGATTTAATCTGAATTTTAACCATTGGTTTATAAATCAATTTTGATTAACATTGTAAAACAAAAAAAAAAACATCAGCCAAAACCTTTACCACAGAACTTTGGCCACAGAAAATGCAACACCTAGAAGGACAAATATTTTTTATACACATATTTAATCATGGTATTATACCTACATTCTTCTTCTTCTTTTGGTGCCTATTCGTTTTAAATATTGTTGATTATTCTGTCTATAATTATTTTATTAACTGATGCTTTAAATAGATTAATTGCTGTTGCGGAGAACTATTTCCTCAAGTTTTTTTAACCATGTTATTCTTCTTTTCCCAATTCCTCGCTTTCCGAATATTTTCCTTTGAAGGATTATTTTCAGTAAACTGTATTTAGTGCGGTTTCTCATTATGTGTCCGAGATATTCTAACTTTCTCCTTTTGATCGTATACATCACTTCTCTTTCTTTCCCCATTCTACGTAGTACAGTCATGTTGTTATCTTGTCCGTCCATGATATTCTTAGGATTCTCCTGTATAGCCACATCCCGAAGGCTTCAAGTTTTTTCTCCATGGCTTCCGTAAGTGTCCAGGATTCAAATCCGTAGTATAATGTCGAGAAGGAATAACATCGTAGGAGCCTTACTTTTATCTCCAGATTAAGGTTGCGGCTTTTAAAAAGTTTTGCCATGTTTTCAATACATTCCTAGCCTTCTTTATTCTACATTTTACTTCTTGTAAGTGATTCCATTGTTCGTTTACTATTGTTACAAGATAGGCAAACTGTTACTCGTTACTCGGTCCACTGGTGTATTCTTGATAAAAAGTTGGACGTCTCTAATTTCATTTTCAGTCCAAATCTTTCACTTACTTCATTTATTTTGTTAATTAGTTGCTGTAAACTGTTTAAACTGTCTGCAAAAATAACGCTGTCCTCTGCATAGTGGATGTTGTTTAGGCGTTATCGATTTAAAAAGATTCCATGTTCGCAATTTTCTAATTGGGCTAAATATTTCCTCTGAATATAGGTTGAATAATATAGGTGAAAGGTCGGTACATCTCCGAGATGTGTTCTTATTTTGGCTGATTATTTCCAGTATAAATGTTGCATTATACGCCAGTCTTTATCATCTATTTGGGCTTTTGTTAAAACATTTTTTTAACAATACCGAAAAACATCATTTTTCGGTATTGAACTGGGTAGTCCACAAAAGTAAAAGGGCTATGAGAGTACGGGCACATTCTATAGGTGTCATCATCATCATCATCATCCAGCCTCTATTTATCACGTCCACTGCTGGACATAGGCCTCCCTTAAACTCCTCCATTCCTCACGATTTTGTGCTCTTTGTTGCCAATTTTTAGTGATACGCCTGATGTCGTCGGCCCAACGTGTAGGTGGTCTTCCTCTACTGCGTTTGTCTGCTCTTTGTCTGCTGTTTGTCTGTCTATAGGTGTCTTCTTCTTTAAGTTCCATCTTCTATCGAAGGTTGGACATCATCATGGCTATGCGGACTCTGTTGACTGCCGCTCTAAAAAGTTCTGCACTACTGTATTCAAACCATTCCCTCAAGTTCTTAAGCCAGGATATTCTTTGTCTTCCCACATTTCGCTTTCCTTGGATTTTGCCCTGCATAATAAGTTATAATAATGCGTATTTTTGCCCTCTCATCACATGTCCCAAGTACTCAAGGTTTCGTCTTTTAATAGTTAATATTCATTCTTTGAGTCCATGATATTCGTAGGATTCTTCTGTAACACCAAAATTCAAAGGCGGCCAACTTATTCAGATGAACTTGTTTTAGTGTCCAAGCTTCCAGACCATAAAGAAGAGTAGAGAACACGTAACATCGAAGCATTCTCAGGCGTAGTTCTAACCTTATATTCCGACAACAAAGAAACTTTTTAAGTTTAATAAATGATGTACGTGATATTTCAATACGTGTCTTAATTTCTTTGGTTTGGTCTACATCTGATGTTATCCATGTTCCTAAGTATTTATAGTTATTAACACTCTCAATTGCAGTATCTTCAATAGTCAATTGGATATTTGCATGTGCAGATTTAGTCATGATCATGCATTTAGTTTTCTTTAAATATATCTTCAGTCCGTACTCATGACAGCGTTCATTAAAGCGTTGCATTACGTTCTGTAAATCATTGTTGTTATCCGTAATTATTACTGTATCGTTTGCAAAACGTAAGTTATTCAAAACTTCTCCATTGATAGATATACCTTCTATTGAGTCTGAGAGCGCTTCTTGAAATACCGCTTCACTGTAGACATTGAAAAGTAGTGGGGACAGCACGCAACCCTGGCGGACTCCTCTCTGTATTTTGATATTTTCGGTGTACTGGCTGTCAACTCTTACCTTGGCAGTTTGATTCCAATATAAATTAGATATAATTTTCAGATCACGACTGTCAATATTTTTGCTTTTTAATATATCTACAAGCTTTTTATGTTGAACTTTATTAAATGCCTTTTCAAAGTCTACAAAACATAAGTACATATCCTGATTCATGTCCATGCATCTCTGAGCCAGCACATTCAAGCCGAACAAAGCATCTCTTGTACTCATACCATTTCTAAAGCCAAATTGTGTGTCACTAATCTCATATTCAAGAGTTTAAACAATTCTGCTGTGAATTATTTTCAAAAATGTTTTAAGTGTGTGACTCATTAAAGCTATTGTTCTGTGGTCTGAGCAAGTTGTTGAACTTGGTTTTTTGGGAATTGCTACAAAGGTTGATTGCAGCCATTGTCTGGGGATTGTGGCAGTCTGATATATTAGATTAAAGAGTTCAACCATTACATCAATAACATCTTCATCGATGAGTTTTAATAATTCGATGGGCACCTCATCTGGTCCAGTGGCTTTACCCTCTTTTGTGTTTTTGATGGCATAGATGACTTCTTTTCTTAATACTGGTGGTCCAGTATCTTCGGTGATTTCTAATGACAGTTCTTCTCTTTCATCATTAAATAGTTGTTGAATGTAATTGGTCCAGTGACATAATCTCTCCTTCATATTAGTAATAATATTCCCTTTATCATTTTTAAGTATATTCGTTTTTGTACGCTTTCTAGAACCTGTCATTTCTTTGATTTTTTTGTGTAAATTAAAGCTATCGTACTTTTTATCCAGATCTTCTATTTCCTTGCATCTATCGGAGAGCCACCTCTCTTTTGCCTCTCGAATTTTCTTTCTGATGTTTCTCTGAATTTCTTTGTATTTATTCAGGTCTTTTGCTTTATGCTTTCTTCGTTCTTCCATGAGTTCAAGAATTTCTACTGTCATCCAAGGTTTTGTTTTTTCTTTAAGTGGTTTGAGGGTTTCTTTTCCAACTGACACAAGGGCATGTTGAATTTTTTCCAATTTTTGGTACTCTATAGGTGTAGCTGTAGTTAAAAAAGTTTAAGTTTGTGACACATTAGACTTATTAGCCTATATTCTCCGCATTTTTTTGCTTCCTGCAGTATACATAATAATATTCTTATTGTTTGATCACTATTGGATAGTTCTTCTTCTACTTGTACTTTTATTGTGTTTTTTGGTAGATATTTTCGATCGTTTTGATTATTTCTAGAGGTATCTCTCTTGCATACAGTAAGTAGATAAAGTCTTTTAATTTGACCCGGTCAAATGCCTTTGTAAGGTCCACGAAACATAGATATGCCGGTTTGTTGTATTCTAATGATATCTCTTGCACTTGCCTCATTATAAATATAGCGTCGTCGGTGCATGATCTTCCCGACTTAAAACCTAGTTGTTCTTCTGCTAGTGTTATAATTTCATTCAATTTATTTGTTTGGTTGTTAATTTTAGTCTTGTTTGTTTAGTGTTGCAATCACCCCGCAACCTTGCCTGGTGTGATTGCGCGGTGAATTGAACAGCTCTGCGCGTACCACAGCCGGTCCCAAGCTCGGATAAAATGTGGAGGGTGATTGGCAAGGTTAGCAACCTAAAAATCGTAAAAACAAATACTGCTCAAAGAAACAATGTACAACCACAATTTTCAAGATAGATATTACATGTCATTATGCAAAACAAAGTTATTAACATTTATAAATTACTGCAAAAATAAGGGTTTTTTTTTTTAAATATGTCGGTCAATTCTTTATGTATTTTAATTTTGAATCTCTCAACATTAAAGAACTCTTTATGATTTTTAATTTTTTTTCAATCATTTTTCTCTAAAATTCATAAGAAACGTCTTTTACGCAAATACTATTTTTTTCTACTCTTTACCATTGTTAAAAAAAAAAAAACAAGCAAATTTAGCAGTACGTCTACACATAATTATACAAGGAATAATTTTTATAAATCTTTAAAAATTTCGTTATATTTTAAACCAAAATGTATTTGTATTACTTGTAACATTGACCTACTACTTAAGAACCTTAATTCATTTGTTATGTAGTAAACCTTGAACTTAAAATTTGGTTAATATGAATGCTATTTATAGTAAATGACTTGTATTTTTAATATATTGAATACAAATAACCTATGGTATGTTAGAGCATAAAAAGTATATTCTACACACATTGTTTAAGTATCCGGGAAAGTTAAGTGAATATCCGGGAATCAAAATATTTTTGTATTAAAGTTTATGTTTAAATTAGTAATCAGAATACAAAGTTATCCTATAAACTAATGTGTTATTGACTTTACAGTACATTATTGCTGATGTTTGACGTGATAGGAACTTCTCCATCGACAGGTTTTCTTCAACCATTTTGTAGGTGTGCTGGCAAATTTCTTTGGAGTCTTCTGGTATAAAGCTGTAGTAGTGGGTGAACTAGCAAATTTTTCTAGATTTCCAATGTATTATAATGTTTTGAGCTTTGTCTTTGAATGACATCTGTAACATAATCTATTGTTATAGTATTTGATTGGAGACACAAAAGATGCATCTGACTTCTTTGTATAACAGATATGTTCAATATTCTTGCGAATCTTTATAGTTCTGCCCCATATTCTTGTCTACTAACCTTTTATGAATTGCATTAGTAGAAATAATTGTAATATAAGTGTATACCATTTTTTCAAAGTAAAAAGGTTGCACATCACTTGTATTCAAAATTTTCAGAACATCTACCTTAGAATTCAACTTTTCCTAGCACAGCTAATAATACGACACCCACACGAAACTGCTTGATCTTTCATAGGCGTTACCATGATATAATAATAAAAAAATGTAATCATGATTATATTGAGAATTTTACTATTGTATTGATTAAATAACTGATATAAATGAAATGTATCTGATATAAATTTTACGAAATAACTAAAATAAGTTTAATACTCCACAAAATAATAATTTTAATTAAATTGATTAGACAATTGTATGCCACTGATACGGGAATACTTCAAATTTCACTGACAGTTTATCGTTTAGACATATTGTTAAGTATTGCCGGTTTTTAGAATAACATCTTTGTTTATGTTTTGATTTCTTGCTAATAATATATTATATATTAATAAATTGTATTGTTAAATACATATTAAATTTAGATTAGTAGCTTTAAAAACTAATTATTGTTTTTTTTGGCTTTGGATTATTGATCCATTCAGCCACGATATTATAATAAATACTGTTTGCTACAATATTAAATACTATATACACATGCGCACATATACACACTTATGCACGCAGATACATATATAGGTATTGTTAAATAAAAATAAAAAAAATACAAAAAGGAAGGGGAAACATTAAATTGACCTCTATTTAAACTATTCATTTAGGACCCTAACCAATTTAAATTAATTTACAAATAAGAAATATACAAATAATACTAAATGCTAATACTAAATGCTACTGATTAATAATTGTCACAGCGCTAAGACATAAACACCTCGGAGGTTTAGGCCTTCTTTGTGATTGTTTTTTTTTTCTGTTTTTAATTTTTTTTACTTTTCCTTTTTTTTTTAAAATATGATTTTTTATTTATATATACATTTTTATTTCATTTATATAAATTTTTTTTTCTATTTTTTCTTTTTTTTTCTTTTTTTTTTCTTTTTTATAACGATGTTCGTATTTTACAGGGAGTTACTTAATATTACATAAGAATAAATATGAAAAACAATAATTGTTAAAACACATTAAGGCGACTCATTCATTCAAGTTAGATTTTTCTCTTAGTCCTTTTTAAAAATTCCCAAATAATTTGTTGTATTTTATAGTTTCGTCGAGACAAGTATAAAAGTGAAGCTTGGTTTTGTGGTAAAGGTATTTGTTCTTGAGCCAGAGTGTGCATCAAATATTTAATTGCATCATTATTATGCTTGCATCCAAACAACCAGTGATAAATATCATCAGCATAACCATTGCAATCACAAAGTTCTGATTCGGATAGATTTAGTCTATAGAGGTATAAGTAAACAACAGAATATAAAACCGTCTATATATGTAAATAATACCAAACTTAAGCAAGCAGAAAATCACGGCGAAATTAGATCCAGAATAGAGCAGGCTAGAGCTGCTTTTAGAAGGATGTCCAAGGTGTTATGTAACAGAGACCTAAAATTGGCATTAAGGATCCGCCTACTTCGCTGTTACGTGTTCTCGGTCTTACTTTATGCTGCCGAGTCCTGGACTGTGAATAAAATCGATCTAAATCGCCTTGAGGCTTTCGAAATGTGGTGCTATAGAGGAATTTTAAAAGCTTATTGGGTGGAGAAGATTCGTAACTCCACATTACTAGAACGTCTCAGCAAGACTACTGAGATCATAAAAAGCATCAAGCAGAGAAAGCTGGAATATTTCGGACATGTAATGAGAGGTCCCAAATATAGATTGCTACAAAATATCATGCAAGGAAAAATAGCAGGCAAACGCAGTCCAGGACGAAGAAGAACCTCATGGTTGAAGAACTTGCGAGATTGGTATGGTGTAGATACAAGCATGCTATTTAGGGTGGCAGTGAATAAAATTAAAATAGCTATGATGGTAACCAACGTTCTGAAAGGACATGGTACATGAAGAAGAAGAAGAAGGTATGTCTTGACAGTGGCATGGTTAAAGAGACATCTAACAAACATGAAATAAATATTTCTATTGGGGTAACTTCTTACGGCAAACGGCTCAGTAGGTAAAACTGGATGAATTTTTGTATAAAGATTATTGCTTCGATTACAGAAAGCAAACCATTCAATGTCCCAATTTTGTTTTAGACTTTTCTTGCAAGTGGCTGTTAGATCGCTTCTATCTAGCCAAGTTATTTCTGATCCTTTTATTGATTGCTTCTTTAGCATAAAAATCTGCTTTGAGGTTACCGGAAATACCAAAGTGTCCCTTTACCCAGACGAAATGTACAGCAGTATGTTCTATGTTCTTCCAGCAGCTTAAGTTGGTTTTCTAAAATTTTAACGACAAGACTATTTTTTTATAAATGTTGACGTGAGTTTTCTAAAGCTAGAAATTTTTTTGTTGACAGCCCATTCTAGAGCTTTATGAATTGCGAACATTTCTGCAGAGTATATAGAGCATTGTTTATCTAACTTGAACATTAGGGATTCTTTGTGATCCGGAATATATACAGCACAGCCGAATCCCAACCTTGATTTAGAACCATCCGTGAAGATCCTGCATGGATTATTAAGCTTGGCTATCTGATGCTGAAAATCAACTGTATTCTCACTGTCAAAATTGGGAAACCAAACATTGACTTTGGCATAAGAAACATTGAAATTCGATTGAAAGAAAGTTAAGTCACACGGAGTGTTTAGACGCTGAGAAACGTTAGGATATGCCACTGCCAGAATAGGAGAATTTCTGTTATGCCACAATTTGTCGACTAGATTAGAAACAGAAATACCACTAATTATTGTTGTGTATTGTGATTGTGCTATGCCAAAACAACTAAATAGTCTGTAGAAAGCTGATAAGCTTTAATAGATTATTTTGAACAAGAAATAATGGCTGGACGTTTTTACTATTAAAGCCATAAAAGAGGTAGATTTAAAATTTAGAATATATAATTTTGTATAAAAATATTTTCAACTGTATTTAAGTGTATTGCTGTAGTCCTAAAAATAAGTGTATCTACTGTTAATAATATTTCTCAAGCTGATAAAAATAATGAACTTTTAAAATCAATTTTGAAAGTGTGATTATTTCCTTTATGTTAAAAATCCAATTGATTAGTGTATTGTTTTTTTTTTAAATAGTTGACGTTTTAAAAATTCCTCACTTATTAGCTATTCTGATGTTTTGGCAACGCTGTAGGCAACGCTGTAGTTTCTGACGTCGTAAATTTTTTATGACGTGCACTCATTTTTATATGAACAATTTTATACTATAACCTCTTCTCTTCTTATAGCCGGCATTATCAGTTAAATTGTTTTTTCTAGAGTCTGTTGGAATAATCTGGTGAGCTGTAGTAGACAGGTAAAAAAATCAAATTATTTTAAAGTTTCCATCTATAAACTCTATAAACTCTAATAAGGTTACCTGTGTGTATAGGATATTTTCCAGTAAGAAAAGCTGATCTTGAAGGTGTGCATAATGATTGAGTATAGTGACTATTTAAAATAACTCCATTATAGGCAAGTGCATCTATATTTGGGGTTGGTATTTCATCACTGCCATGAAATCCAACATCATTAAAACCCTAAAACAAACGGTAAATATTAAAAATTCATCTATATTAGGGAGAATATATATATATATATAATATATATATATATATATATATATATATATATATATATATATATATGTATACAAGAAATACTAGATATTAGTGATGTCTATATAAACAACCTACACAGTTTATTAGAGTTGTAGTCAAAAAATTGTCCGGGATGTTAAAAAAACACTCTTTTGACTTTTTGTCTAGCTTTCGGAATGGTTTTATTCCTTTTTCAAGACACTGCAATAAGAAAAATATGTAAATATTTACAAAAAATAACAATTCTTTAGTGTAACTTACTAGTCGTTGAGATATTTATAAAAGCATTGACACTCAACATTGATAACACACATATAAAATATAAAATAATGAACAAAATACATTCTAAAATTTTTAAAATTTAATGTAAAGATAGTAAAACTTAATTTATGGCATCTCTTACTGGTGTGTTTTATACTCTGACATAGAGAACAGAAACTAGAAACCCTGTGATTAAAATGTAATTAGTTGTACTTGATATTATTTTTCTTTTCAAGAAATACTAGAGGCCCATTTTGGGTGTTATGTACAAGTAAATATTTATTTTATTTTTGATGTTTTTCCAGTAAATAACAATAAATATTGCTTAGTTTATCCATGTCAGACTTTTTATTGATACAAGATGTACTAGATTTTATGAAACACATTTCCAAAAAAATACGTTTTGAATGGTTCTTTTCCTTTGCCAAAATACAGGAAACCCCGAAATTAAATTCATGTTTCAACGTTAATGCCTGTTCTGTCAATGCACCTGCATTTATTTTTTTTTTGTTTTTATATCACTACGATGTAATATCAGCCTACTGTGAAAATTACGAGATGATTCTCTTATGTATATTTTATTACAATTCTAAATTAAAATTGTAATAAAGACAATTGTAATAAAATATACATAGGATAATCATCTCGTAATTTTCACAGTAGGCTGATCTCACATCGTAGTGATATTAAAACAAAAAAAAATAAATGGATGTGCATTGACAGAACAGGCATTAACGTTGAAACCTGAATTTAATTTCGAGGTTTCCTATATTTTGGCAAAGGAAAAAAACCATTCAAAACGTGTTTTTTTGAAAATGTGTTTCATAAAATCTAGTATATCTTGCAGCAATAAAAAGTCTGACATAGATAAATTGAGCTACATTTATTGTTATTTACTGGAAAAACATCAAAAATAAAATAAATATTTACCTGCGGATACATTACACCTGTATGCATAATATGTTGCATAACATTAAGACAGGTTTAAAAAGTAAAATTATCCAAGATGGACCTCTAGTATTTCATGACAAGAAAAATAATATCAAGTATACCTAATTAGATTTTAATCACAGGGAGTTTACTTTGTGTTCTCTATGTATCAGAGTTAAAACACACCAGTAAAATATGCCCTAAATTAAGTTTTACTGTCTTTACCAAAAATTTTAAAAATTTTGAATGTATTTTGTCCATTATTTTATATTTTATATGTGTTATCAATGTTGAGTGTCAATGCTTTTATAAATAATCTCAAAGACTAGTAAGTTACACTGAAGAATTGTGATTTCTATGATCTTGTTAAAGGTTTCACATATATTCTGGAATGACTCTTCTGAAGTACAAATTTGTTCCATGTTACTTAGCTTTTCTGAAAAAATCCGTACGAGTGTCTCCTTTGTTTCCTTAATTTTTAGTCTTCTCATATCAGATTTTTTTGTTATTCTTTTTTGTAACCTTTTTAAATCTAAACCTAAATAGTTGTTAGTTTATTTATATAAAATTTTCTTTTGCTTGCCAGTTCAGGCCTACTATAAAATGTGAGTTTTCAGAATACTAGAATAATAGTTAAGATGACAGTAACACATTTACGTCATAAAAATTCTTAGTTAACTTATTGGTTCAATTTTTCCGTCGGTGTGGCCATATTGTCCTTACGTCTAACTTATGAGACCTTTGTTTAACATACCTAACCTTCATATCTCACGTCTAATGTTGGGTGTCAGTGGTTGCTGCATTATGGTTGCAGGTAATTGTTTGGAATTAAATACTTCCTGCGTTAAGATACGTAATTTTATTTGCTACACAATAATTAAGTTTGCAAGCTTACAAGCTTGTTGCGTTTAACTATTTATCATTTTTAAAATACTAACTAATAATGTAATTTGAAATTATGCATGTAAAGGTTACGGCATTTTTAGCTTTTGTTGTATATTTTTAAAATATTCTTGGCAAGTTAATAATTAGTAACTAAAGGTTAATTATTTATAAAGAAAATAATTTTATGTCAATCAATCAGTTTCTTTCGTAATACGTTATGTGTTTTATATAAATTGCTAAGGACTTTTAATTAGAAAAAATAATTATAAATATAGTTAGTTAAACCAAAAGTCGGAAAACGCCTAATTATCTCTTAAATGGATGGTCCGAACTGTATAAAAACCGAGACACGCCTATTCTGCAATACTGAGATCTCAAATCTGATACTTGCAACGTTGCCAGATTTTTTTGCACTACAGGGTGTTCCCTGTACAAAGTGTTATATAAGATTATGTACCCAATAAAATAATTTTACAATATATATTTTTGGTGTTGCGTTTGATCAGATACTGGGTTAATTAAATTTTGATCATTGTAAAAACTGCCTTTATAATTTAAAACATCTGAGACAAAGCTGAATATTATATTAGAAATACCTTCAACTATTTTTCCTTTATGTAATATGAACTCATCCCCATAAGGATTTGGTGAGATAGACGAATTGGCCATATTCCTATTATCCTCTTTTATTATGTGCTCAGAACAGATGTTTACAGAGGCACTAGAAGACAAAGGCACATACTAAGAAATAAAAAATATGAGTTGATGCCTATGGTTATAAAATAAAGAAAAAAGAGGACCGGGTACACTACACATACCCTTTTGTTGAAAAATTTAAAGCAATCGAGTAAAAAATAAAAAAAGCACTCTTTATAACTGCTAAAGACAGAGTAAAATGGGCCGTTATAATCGTCAATGTTTTTAAAGGATGAGGCAGACGAAGAAGATAAGGACCAATTGACACCAAAAGTAACAGAGATGGTTAGAGCATGATAGGGCTCTAATCATCCAATGCGAAGAATTGCCGAGTTGTTAGTTTCTGGAGGGAGAAGGTGAGGAAGACCAAAGAGGACATATGAGGAGTCGTCTAGGTAGAACATGTCGGTAAATATGATTAATATTGGTATGAAGTAAGATAGTAACTTATGTATAAAACAATAATGTTTAAAGTAAAATCTAAAAAAGTTAATATCACTAACGAGACCAGATAGTCCATGAATAAAAAAAAATTAAAAATAAGACCAAGAGTTTTATACGATCATTATTTTAAATTTCTCTTGTATTGGTACTCCAGTCACTCGGGCTATTTACCTCCCAATTTTGTCGGACTAAACCGATTCATTTGAAATTTGCTGAATCGATGGAAAAGTACTCAAATAACAAAAGTTATACAACGCCGAAGTGTGCTTCCTCCCAGGGTTAATTTGCTACCCTTCTCGAAGGGTGGACAAACAATTTTTTGTGCTTAAAATAATCACGGGGATCGATAGAGAATTGAATTCTCAAGCAGATTTTGTTATATGGAGTTCTTTTAGAAAGTCAATACTGTTTGAGCTAGATACTGTTGAAAACAGCGAATTTTCATTGAAAAAATACACGTTTCTTAACTCAATAGAGGCGATGGCTACACCTATAGGTGATTAATATGCATTCAATTCAATCTCACTCTTGTGCGACTGGCACTTTAAGTAAACATTTTAATAGCTATAAGGCATGTTGACTGAAACCTATATTATTGATGTGTAATGTTGGTTGCTTGCAGCAAGTCATGGAATCTCAACTTTGAATGATTGAATGCAGCTGACGTAATTTTGACAGTGTTTATAGATATTTGGTTATATTTCATCAGATGAACGTCAGGTAAACGATTTATTCTGTTATTTTTGACAAGTTTGTATTTTCCCTGAGATATTACCCAATAAAGGAAGAAGAAGAAGAAGAAGTTTGTATTTTATTGTTAAATAGTGGTCACTGTAAAATGGAAAGTCAACCGGGACCTTCTGGCATTAAAAGGAAATTAACAAATAGGAGCTGACTCGTCCACTAACAGTAGAAGAGATGCGACATATTTTAGAGTCGGACGACGATGAAAGTGATGATAATTTTTCTGTACACAGTGATGAAGGACATATAACAGACAGTGCAAGTGATACTAATGACGAGCATGAAGTTGATGAAATATAGAACGCAATTACAGCAACAAATACGTCCAATGATCGAAACGCGACGTGAAGTGATGAAGGAGTTCTAATGGAAAATTAAGTTTGCGGTAACTCAATCATTTGTTCCAAATATGATTGGAAAACATCCTGTTGACTTTTTAAATTTATTTTTTGATCAAGAAATCATGAATTTAATTGTAGAGCAAACTAACGAGTATGCCGCCAATCTTTTGTTTGTAGAACAGACACGTAAACAATCCCGTATTACATACTGGAAACATCTGACAGTTGATGAATTGAGGACATTTATTGGCTTGCTGCTGCTTACAGAGACAGTTCAATATTCTAGATTAACTGACTACTGGAAGACACATCGATTCTACAGAAGTTGTTTTGGCAAGTATATGTCCAAAAATAGATTTTTACTGATAATGAGATGTTTGCACTTCTCACCTGTTGGAGAAAATAACGAAGATTGTTTAGCAAGAGTACGCCCCATCATTAACCACTTCAATAATAAAATGCAGGCTATTTACAACTCTGGAAAGGAACTTCCTCTTGATGAGTCCATGGTGTTATGGCGAGAACGTTTAATCTTCCGCCAGTATATTAGGAATAAGAAACATAAATATGGAGTGAAACTTTACATGCTGACGGAACCCAACGGATTACTCCAAAAATTTACAATTTATAGTGGGTCAA